TAGCAAAAGATACAAGTAGGTATTATGATGACTGGCAATAAATTTTGTGTAATTTATTAAAATGAGCTCAAAGTTGATAAATTTTATAAATTCTTCAGCTTTAGTTTCAAAATTGTTACTTTTTCAACTCGTTCCTCACAACGATGCACAAGACATTAATTTAAGTGCGTTCTTTCTCATTCATGTTTATTTTGCATTCTTGTCAATTTTTTGCTAAAAATTAAGAATGTTTAGCAAACCTGCATTACAAATTGCGTCTACATTTTAATGGGCCCTTTTTCTAACTTCCCTGCTTGCGAACTATTCGTTTCCAAATTTCGAAAAACTGTTAGTGAACCGAATTTGTTTCTTTTTTGGTGTTTCGTCTTTAAATTTTCTTAGATGATTTTTTGTGTTGATGTTTAATATCATTGTTTTCAAATTAATTCGAAAAAACGGAACTGCCAACTTCCTTTATTAAAATTACCATGAATAAATTTACTAGTTATGCCAACGTTAAAACTGTTTGGCATTTCCATTTAAAAAAAAAAACAGACTTTAGTTACAAAGTAAAAAAAATAAAAAACACTCAAAGACCATGAAATCGTCTTTTTTATTCTCAAGTTAATGTTTTGTTATGCCTAATGTCTAGTAGTATAAAAAATCAACGTCAACTAACGCCTGGTGAAAAACAAAATGTCAATTCAAACACAAATTAGTCATAATAAAACATTGTTTGAAGGAAAGTCTAATATTTATAATAATATATTATTTGATTTTGGGTTCAAAACTACTACTGCATTAATATAACATTAAATCTTAAATTAATTATATTATTGTTTTCATGACTTAATTTGTATAATAATATATCATATACAGGGTGTACCGTTTTTATTGATACAAATTTAAACAGGTGATAGAACATTCAATTTTAAGACAATAGTTTCCTATGAACATGTATCAAAAAATGTTAAGTAAGCGAGCTACACCCCCTAAAAGAGATGCGTTTTTTAATGGGGTTTTACCACTATTGTAGAATAGATAAAATTACAAAAGTTGGTACGGCTGATAACTTTTAAACACCTGAACAAATTCAAAGATCAGTTGTCGAAATTTTTAAACACGGGCGTCTTAAACGGTAAAACAAATTTAATTTTTAATTTTTATCCTCTTTATGGTCTGTAACACAAAGTGTAAACTAATTTTACTCAAAAACGGTAAGTTGTATCGAAAAAACGCAAGAGACCTATTTTTTGTGAAAAACTATGAAATTTTGAATTGTGTGGCTGAATGTGGCAAAAACCAACAGACAAAATAGTTAGAGTACTTTTTACCCTAAACCCCCTAGTTTAACACGCCCCTGAGTGAAAATTTCGACATTTTACCTTTGAATTCGTTTAGGTGTATAAAGGTTATTAGTTGTACCAAATTTTGTAATTTTATCTACAATGGTTTCTGAAATATTGGAAGAAATCCATTAAAAGAAGCACCCCTTTTAGGAGATGTAGCTCCTTTATATAAACTTTTTCGATACATGTTTATAGAAAACTTTTATCTTAAAATTAAATTTTCTATCACCTGGTTAAATTTGTAACAATGAAAATGGAACACCCTGTATATGATCTTAGCTGCGGTGTTGCCATTTTCTGCATGGGTTTGAAAGGTTTATTAATATCAAAACAAATGCCTTTTATTTTCTGAATCTCTTGCAATAAGTTTTCTAAATGACGTTCTGTCTATTTTGGAAAACGGAAAAAACATTCGCTGAAGCAAGCTGTATATTTGCAAAATTTGTTAGTAGCCTACTTCGCAATATTCAGTGCGTAATATTTCACAGGGGTGTATCGATCGGGGTTCACCCCTTATTTATAACTTTAAGTAGATGAAAAGATATTCCACTCTACAAGTTCCACTATTACTGCCCCTCATAATATGAAATAAAACCTGTTAATAATGACGCAGTATAAGGGTGATAGAATTTTTCAAGAGAAATTGATAAATAAATATACTCTGAATTCGAATTACATTGAATTGCATTTCAACAATTAAAAAAAATACTTTCACAATGTCAGATAACCTAATAAACAAAATTATTTGTTGTTTAGTTCATTCCGAGATAAAATCAAGTGCTTTATTGTTACATAATTTAAATATAGAATTTCGGAGCCATTTTGGCGTGCATTTTGAATACAAAAGGAATATTTCTGAAGGCATCGACCTGCGAGTACGAAGATCACGTTTTAATCGCTTTTATCATTCAATAACAATTCATTGTCTCCATTTACTGATCAATTATTTGGCTCGTGGTCTGTCAGGGAATGCAGACCAGCAGATGATCCTTGCACCTGGCCTCGCACCTGTTCCCAAAACATCTGCCTTTCGAAAAACACAGAAATTGTTGATACACTCGAGTTGTATTGAGAAAGAACCGTAACGCAAATATTACGGTTATTTTGTTGCGACCAAGTCGTGCTACTTGGGTGTTATTCGATAAAGGCAACCAAGTGGGTGTTCCTACGTGAGCATTCCATCGCTTACGGCAAGATTTGGGTCTTGCCCTTACCACAAGCCGGGTTTTTAGTTTCCCACAGAATTTCGTAACTCGATTACATCACAAGGACAATAAATACTCACTTTTAGAAATGAGAAATAGCCAACTCCGAAGATTTTATAAGCACGAAACTGGTCGATCCGGGGCCATAACTGGATTAATTAATCAAGTTCGGCTGTTTTATTCCACTGTGATAAGCTAGCTATCAGTTATCATCGATAGACAGGTTATATTTAAACCAAATCGTGTTATAAAATAAATTTATTGAGTTAATAAATAGTTATGACAAAAAAGTTCTAACAGTTGCTTTGATGGCTGATCTACAAAGAGGGCAATCTTCCAAATTCGGTGCACAATTAACACACGTCGTTAAATGTCCGCACGGTAGAAACACTATACCGACTTCGGCATCCATACAAATCTTACACAGTCTTGCTTCTTTCAAAATTCGATTCTCTTCTTCTAACGATAATGTTTTATTCGATTTTGATTCCTTAACTATCGATTCGTTTTCTGTTTTAATCTCACTCGAGCAACTCCGTGCAATTATATTATCTAAAACATTTTCTACGACATTCTTCACGTGAGTATCTTGATCGTCGGACGAATCTTCTTCGCTGTGCTGAAGATTGAGAGCAGCTTCGACCAGAGCGTCCGGCTGTGAGTACCCACGACCAGTCTGTTCCAATTTCTCCCGAATCGCCCTTTTCACCCTTTCAACATTCAAGCCGATACTTAGGGCAGAAAGGGCCACTTCCCCTAACATATGCTCCTGGATTTCTTGCTCGGTAACTTCGCGTTTTCGCGGCTGGACACTCGAGTAGTTCTTCTGGTCGACCTCCTCCTGAAACAGCAAATTATAATAACGTTTTATGGCACCGATCTTCTGAGAAGGAATTTCCTTTCTTTTCAAAATCTCGAGAATTTCATTATGTGCGCCGCTTTGTGTGCCGTACCGCAGGTTTCTACGAAAAGAGGCAAAGGCGAGAGGTAAATTTCTCGGTCCCTAATTCCTGGAAAGGTGCAATGTTGGGACAGTTCGCCGAACTTGTGGCGCCAAGATTTTTTTCAGATAAGATAACCTAATCCAGGAAATTGGATCGACAGGAGAATTTATTTGTCTTTTTTGGGATATCTTTGAACTGCATTCCAACCTTTTCTCTAATAACGGTTTTAATGTTCTGGAAACGCCCATCGGATTCTTTTCCACGTGCATAGTTATTGCCTTTGTCATAACAATAACAAATTAAATAAAAATCGTTTAGTTTTTAAATAGAACTTGTGTATTGCTAGATCGCCTCTGCATAAAACTATTTGGTACTTATGTTCGGTTAAAGGAAAATAGCGGCTTCACAATTATAATCTTGTTTATGCACACATCGCATTATCTGGTAAAAATAATCCATCATATGACCATAACAGTCTCACAGTCACATGAATTAAAACAATGCAAATTCATGTCATGAGTCATGCATTCTTGATAATAAGTTCTTTGAGTGCATAAAAGGATGTGCAATTTTTCAAAATCACACTTCGGAAAAAATTGTGCAAGGTTAGAAAATATGGGACAAATCAAATACGAACAAGGCCAACAAGTACATAATTAAAAACATATGTAAATAATAAATTTACAAACTTCGTGGAAACAAAATTAATCATTGTATTGAATTCAAACTGCAACGTCGTGTCAGCCCGATTAAAATTGGTAAAGTATCCTTGCATTTATGACGTCATGTTTTTTTCAAAGTAATTCAATAATAAACATTGCACATTTGTGGCGCCACAAATTATGGTTGGTGAAATGAACACGAATAAAAGTTCAACCTAAACAAGTTTTTCTAATCACCTTGAAATGTTTACATATCAAATAACGAAAATGCAGTTGCAATGAGGGGACAAAAAATCTCCTTGTTCACAGATTCGGGAAAATGGGACGACGATTGTGTAAACGTTGAACATCCGGTTTAGACTTCATTCATAAAACTAGGGACTTAAGACGATCTATGAGGAGTTGCGCAATTGTCATTTGTTATTATTCTATTTAAAAACGTGTCGTAAAGAGTTTATAGTAATTTTATTTTGTTGGAAAAAATTAATCACAACCTTAATCAAGTTCTGAAAATACCAATTAAGCAAAATGAACGGTTTAATAATTTCGATAAAATTTTTCATTTTCTTGGCCAATTGAGTCAATAAATTTTTCATAGAATTGATAATGCAGCTATGACCAAAAACTATTTGCGAAATTTCGAACAGTATTTGCGCAAATTATTTTTATGACCTAGTAAAGTACTGATAATAATAATTAAACGATAATTACATATTATTAAAATAACCATCAAATATGACGAATCAAGGTCGCTTCGAAAAACAAATAAATATGATGCGATTCATTTGAACAAATAAATCGTTTTTTTCTTAATTTGTGCTCACCAGATTGCTGTTGACGTTGAGTTCGAGGGAGCAGGCAGTGACAAAGTCCTGCCCCTTGACCAGCTTGATGAAGGAGCACCTTGGGAACCACCTGGCATGCTCCGTCCAAGGATCGTCTTGGGGGTCCCAGTGCCTGAGGCCTCCATCGCAGTGGAAACACCTGACCTGATCCCCCATTCCCTCGTAATAAAATCCGGCTTGAGACAGGATATCTGGGGTTTGGATCAGATCAGGGGGCCACGTTGCGAATGATCTTAACCGTGATTCTAGGGTGGCATAGTTGGGTTTTTTTGGGCCTTTGTGCGTCTGGACCCCCAGACAATGTAAGTTTTCGTTGGCGACTAGATGCAAATTTGTGAAGGACGAGTCTGTCTTGGCTTGTCCATTTGTGTTTTGGTTGAGCCTGGGGACGATTTCGGTGAGGACGAAAGGGCAGTCCTCGAAGTGGCGTTTGTGCTCTTGGTCGGGGTCGTCGCCGAGTTCCCACGCCCGCACTACCCCCTTGCAAAAAGCGCATTTCGTGTTGTCGCCCGTGTTGAGATAGTAGAAGCCGGCGCGGGCGAGGCGCTCGGGGGCCACGATGTGGGGTTTGGGCCATTTGGCGAAGGTTTTGAGCCGGATTGCTTCGTCTTTCATTGAGTCGGAAGTCGAAGGTACATTTGTAGGTGATATTATAGGAACATTTCCTGAGGTAGTTGGATTTAATACGAAGGGGCAAGAAGGGTTGAGGGTTTTGTGTTTGGCCATTACTTGGTCACCGTAGTTCCATTCCGAGATTGTTAAGTGACAGGAGAAACATTCGACGGTGACGTCGTGCTTGGTGTAGAAAAAACCGGCTTTGGCGATTCGAGGGGGTGTCACAGCGGCGTCTTGAGGCCACTCTTCGAAAGTGTCCAAACGGTTCTGTTCCACGTTCATTTTTGCAATTTTCACGTTATGACATTTTTTCAAATCAAGTGCAACGACAACTTTAAGAGCTTTGTAATTAAGTAACACAACAAAAACACGAATATATTATGCTTAAGACATGAGAACTGTTCCTCCTCGAGCCACTTCACCAAGAACTGTCAGCTATCAGCTGACATTACTGAAATACCGGCTAGAGACCGCTTTTACCGACCCAAATGTCAAAGTCATTCATTGCAATATTCAATTTTTTTATTTTCTAATTTACATAATTATTACAAATTTATTCACGACAACTAATATTTAGAATGTTTTTTTTCCTTCCATTTTCTTTCTGTAATCATCCATTATGTGACACGTCAGCATTGAAGTCAACGTTTGCAATTTAATCAAACATTCAGACTTTTTTGTATTCACTGCAGAACTGAAAATTAAAATTTATCAGTTTTTTTATTTGTTTTTTTTTACAACATATTACCTATCAGTAGACGTTTCAGACACAACTTCACGCATTTTCATAAATTGGTCAATTTCATACTTTATTTTATACAACAAAACATCAGAGTTGATGTTTACATTGTATAAAAAGTATCCCATGTTAGCATGGTCTTTACTATTTAATTCCTCTTTATAATTTTCAAAAAGACCAGCGATTTTCTCGTGCAATTCTTGAAAATTATCTTCCAATGCTTCCATTTTTAAATTTTGACACATCAGTGCTAGGAACTTTATCGCTGGCAGCTTTGCCCACCAGATGACGAATTTTTATTGATTAAAAATGATACGATTAAAATTATTATAATCCAATAACTACATTTACTTTAGTTTTAATTATAAAGGTGATTTAACGTAAGAAAATATTTTATTACACGGTATTTCTCATTTCAAAGAATACGATGTAGGAAATTTTAGTATTGTTATTGTGTCGTTTTTGTCGATAAATGGCGGATTATTCAAATGTACTAGATTTATTTTTCAATAAACAATTCTAAAATTACAATTTGTGTTTTATTTTTTTGATTGTTTAAAAATTCATAGGTATTTTTCTAAAATTTATAAGGTTTGCGTTAAATGGGCAAGTTTTGAATAGTTGAGGTGGGACGATCAGCTGATAGTAAGGGCAAAGTCCTCACTATAATACACTTCTTTCGTTCACTTTTTCCCCACATAACAGTTTACATACTCTGAGTGCATTTATAATTCCAACAACTCAAAATGTCTGCCTTCAAATTATCCCAGGTTGGTTCCCATATCATGCAAAACTCAAATAAGGTGCTCCATTTCTCTCATAGGTGGTGACTTTGACCAACAGATCCTACAGCACAAAACCACAACTAAACGAAGTAGTTATAATTTCTGCAACTCGAACCCCAATTGGGTCATTCCTCGGTTCTTTATCTTCAGTCCATGTATCTAAATTGGGGGCAACAGCAATACAAGGTGCCGTTGAACGCGCCGGTATTCCAAAAGAAGAAATTAAAGAAGTCTACATGGGAAATGTGTGCCAAGGAGGTGTAGGCCAAGCGCCTGCAAGACAGGCAACCCTCTTTGCAGGATTCCCAAAGTCGACAATATGCACAACAGTTAATAAAGTTTGTGCTTCTGGGATGAAGTCGGTTATGTTGGCCTCTCAGAGTTTGCAAGCGGGACACCAGGACGTTGTCCTAGCTGGCGGAATGGAATCTATGTCCAATGTGCCATATTATATGAAAAGGGGACCAACACCATACGGAGGAGTTAATTTAATAGACGGAATAGTCTTTGACGGCCTTACTGATGTTTATAATAAGTTTCACATGGGGAATTGTGCCGAAAATACGGCCAAAAAGTTGGGAATAACAAGACAACAACAAGACGATTTCGCAATTACGAGTTACAAAAGAAGCGCTGAGGCTTACGCAAACAACCAATTTGCGTCAGAACTGGTTAGTGTGAACGTGCCCCAAAGAAAGGGCCAACCCGACTTAGTTTTTTCTGCCGATGAGGAGTACAAAAGAGTCGATTTTAACAAATTCTCCAAACTCGCTACTGTTTTTCAAAGGGAAAACGGCACTGTCACTGCCGGAAACGCTTCAACTCTTAACGACGGGGCTGCTGCTCTCATTCTGACAACCCTTGACGCCGCTAAAAGACTCAATGCTAAGCCTTTGGCCCGCATTGTAGGGTTTGAAGACGGCGCGACTGACCCCATTGACTTTCCTATAGCCCCAGCAGTTGCCATACCTCGTCTCTTGAGCAACACTGGTGTTAAGAAAGAGGATGTGGCCCTTTGGGAGATTAACGAAGCCTTCAGCGTTGTCGTTTTAGCCAACCAACAACTTCTAGATATAGACCCGGCTAAAGTTAACGTGCATGGGGGGGCTGTCAGTCTGGGACACCCAATTGGAATGTCCGGAGCTCGACTTGTCGTCCATTTAGTCCACGCATTGAAACCAGGCCAAAAGGGGGTTGCTTCGATTTGCAACGGTGGTGGAGGCGCTTCTTCTATCATGATTGAGAAGTTGTAAGTGTATCTCTGGCGATAACCTCGGCAATTGCAAAATGACTTGTTATTTTTATAAAGAATAAATGTTTTTTAATTAACTTGTTTTTTTTTATTAGGCAAGAGAATCTGCCACGTAATCAGCTGCCAAAATTAATTTTATACACCAAATACCCTTGTCCTTTGTGTGATGAACTGAAGGCCAAATTGGGGCCCTATCTCAGCAGAGTACAGTTTGAAACTGTTGATATTACCAAAAAAGAGAATGTGAGGTGGTTGAGGTTGTACAGGTATGAAATACCTGTACTTTTTTTGAATGGAGAATATTTGTGTAAGCACAGTTTGAATGAAAAGTTGTTGGAGGAAAAACTCAATTTGATTGAAAACAGATAATTAATTATTCATTAAGAGAAGGAAATGGCCCGAATGTGAGACGATTAAGAAGTGGAAATAATGGTCAAACACCTTGACCCTTTCTTGAATACAAATTTCGTGTTTGAATAAAGTTCTTTTGACTGTATTTGTGTTTTATTTAGTACTCATTTCATTATAAAACTTGAAAAATTACAGTTTTGAACATAAACAAGACTTTGGAATTTGCTTGCGGTGATTTGAGAAAAGATGCAGATGAATGAGTTGATTTTCTTGAAACTGTTAACAAAACAAGTTAAACGTGATGTTAGTATAAACACTTTAAAATACATTTTGCGCAATTAGGTGGAAAACAGAAAGAACAATAACAAATTCACGATTTATGTTAATGTTTGTTTAAAACTATAACAAACAAAGTATTGTTTTCATTTTAGAAAATTAGATAAATGAATGTTGACCATAAAAACTCATTTTGAAAAATATTTACCATGGAGGTAGTATTAAATACACTAGGTCTATGATATTTACATTTTCTCCAAAAAAAATTCAATGGTATTACTGGTTGCATACGCTAATTAACATGAATCGAAAGGACTAAACCACCTAAATTTATGATTATAAAATGACAGAAATAAATATGAAACAAATGTGTTTTTGTAATATGATTAAAAAAGTATACGAATAAATGTATTTGTTTATATTTTTGTAAATTAAATTTGTCATTATCGTGTATATTTACCGTTAAATTAAAATTAATTATTCTTGTATAAATGCAATCGCAATCCATTAATTGATCACAAAAGTTACAATAAAATTAAGCTTTATTTTGCGGTAAAATACAAAAAAACACAATTACTTTCTGCACGAATATTTTTTTTGTTGGCGCTTAAATCAATAAGTGTGAGTCGACAGCTTAAATATGAATACTAAGTAGATTGATTGTTTATTTATAAAACTATCAATAATTATAAATATAATACTTTTATTGAAAAATATTGGTGGATGCGCCGGTTTTATTAAAATTGCCTCGACATTTGGTTTAAATTAAAGCTAGATTGGCCTAGTTTATTGTAAGCTTTCTTCAATTAACGACACCCTATAAATGGGGTGTGTAAAACCTTCCATAAAGGTGAAAATGAGTCAGCAGTGAAGCTAAAAATTAGGTTAATTAAAGCCTTCAGTTAATTAATTTAAGCGACTCATAGAAGTGTAAAATTAAATAAAAAAGTTGAGTTCAAAATTTTGGTCCAGGTTCAGTACTTTTGATTTTGTAAAGAAAGTCCAAAAATACCTGAGTCTCAGCTCGTCCGACTTCTCGGCCCAATCGCCCGCAGCAATAACGCAAGAGGTTCATGGACATCGAGCCTTCTGAGTCAAAGAATGAACTCAGGTAAACACAATAAGAGTCAGTTTCGTATTTAGTAGCATGCAGCGGTCGCCTCTACTGCCCACACATACTTTCAATATTGTTAATACCGCTTGGTCGGCTGGACAGACCTGCAGCAGAGTCGTGGAGTGTTCGAACGTGTTGTTCAGCATCGAATTCGAATTAGGTATTTATGAAAAACTTGTGATTTTGGGTGAATTTGTGGCCGATTTTGTGATGTTGTGAGTGATCTTCGACTACTTGTTGCCTGGTTACTTTGGCGAAATTTCACATTTGTGGCTTTGCTAGTACAAAACTGTAATTAAATTCGACCGCTAATTGATTACGAATTACCGCAAAACATTTATTGTTCGATTGCAATAGCAGCAATATAACGCTACTTTATTTATTTTTGCCAATAATTGACACGTTTCGTCACGTTTTAGCAAACGAGTTATAATAAAACCAATTGTGTTGAATCAATATTTTAAAAATTTAAAAATGACGTATTTTGTGCTACAATCATTAGCGCCCTTAAAAACGCTCGAATTATCGATTTGAGGAATAAATGTCAAGCCAACATTTTTTGAGTTGCATCAATGGTCGATGAACTGCTATTTTTAAAGCAATTATTTTAGTGACATACATATGTAGTAGGATAGAAACGAGTTTAGCACATTTTTAACAAATTCCTTCAAAACAATGGGATAAATAACTGTTGTTCAGATAATTATCCGTTTGGGATTTACCTTGAATATGAATAGGGACATTTATTAAATAAATGCAAGAGCTCCGTGTTTGTTGCATTTGTGAGAACAATTACTTTCTGTTTTTGGTGATGTAAACAAGAGAAAGTTTTGCTCCAATGATTAAACGACATTTGTTTATTACTATTATTAGACTGTGTATTTGCAGAGGATTACTAACCAGTCGCGATTTTAACATACGTTGATTTATTTGATAAACACAATGATTAGAAGTAGGAATCACGAGATTACATTAAGGAAATTAGCACAATTCTGATGCAAAAAGATGAAATATTGTCTCAATGTCTTGTTAATGTTAGGGGAAGATTCATTTCTAATTCCCAAACGACTCGTTTGATATCATGTTTCTAAAGGTTCTGTTCTTTATTGTCCCAAGTACCATTATTTATCTCGACCTGTTTTCAGCAGATATGACAGCACTGTTGTGTTCATACCAACATTCATTTTTACGATGGCTTTTATCACCCCTCGACATTCATTTTAATTTATTGAAGTGCCTTAATTCGCAAACAAAACGTTTTCATTTTCAGACCATTTTTTTCTATTTATTAAAACGCATTTTCTTTATTATTATCTCAACCGAAACAGATTGCCGAGTTGTGTGAAAAACCATCTTCTGTAAGCAAGAAGGTTTTAAAATCATCTATTTTGGAGGAGAATTTTTAGTAGCCTTGAACGTAAAATTGTGGTTTTACAGAAGAAAAAATTGGAAATTTCCAAATTGTTACACTTTCCGCGAAATCTGAATGGATCGTGATCAAGGTCAAAGTTTTGATTTGGGTGGTTGTGTGCTTGACTGAGGGAAAACACCCGCCAGGAAAAGTGTCAACACTTGAATTGAATTTGTAGGCCGTGACCACAGTTTCTTTACAGTAAAACATCAGAGAAAAAACTAAGTATATCTACAATGTATGTTGCTAAATCTAATGGCGAAACTGGGATCTGAAGAAAAATTGTTATTTTTGAAGTTTTTCTTGCTGGAACCTAGGAAAAATTATATGTATTACACTGGACAAAGTGTTTTTTTCTTCCTGGGTGGTTACTGCTCTCGACAAGTCTCGGACAGTAACTTCCAGCCGCGACACGTTCCTTGTATATACATAATACCATTAACTATTACACTCATTGTTTCAGGGTTTTTTAAGAAAATATTTGGATCAAAAGTCTAAAAATGTTACCGATGTAATGTTTTTTTTTTAATGTAAAAACTAACGTTAAAGAGGACTAAAAAGGAAAAAAGTGATCCTGAATTTGAGTGTCTGATTCAGAAGTTTTTCATCTTTATTAATTTATTTCAAACGTGAAAGTTGCTACATTTGTGATTTATAGACTTATTTTTTTCATTTATTGTTTTTACATAATTTTTATTTCTGTATTTTTATAGTTGTTCAGTTCATGACTGTAACAATAAATATGTGGGAGTGGCTGTTTAGCAGGTCCCATTATTATGTGCCAAATATTTATGAATGGCTGTAAAAGTGTTATCAATGTTACAATAATTATGCTTATTGCGCCAGTGCTATTACGTTCTGCCAACGGTGCGTTTTGAAATTTTTAAGGTAATTTTGCGTAATTTGTTTATAATAATTGGTGTCACTAGGTCTAAGCAACAATTATAATTTTTGAAAATTGAATTAATATTAATCAAGGATATCGCATCTCAATGAGTTGATTACAAGAAATCGCACCTTGAAAGTCGAGGAAGTTATCAAATTCAAGGCTTTGCGAGATTTTCAAAAGTGAATAACCGGCGGTTTGTCTTAAACGTGCCTTAGACAGAAAGTGATAATTTATTTAGAAATACGTTCGTGAGTTGTGACACGTTGCTTGCACAAACCCGTGCTAACATTTAAGAGCTTATCCTTGATATGGAGATGAAAGTAGAGTGAGACTCTCCAAGAGTGGCCTTGGGGCCAGTTTCGGCAGACGGCGGTTTGATGACTCACCGTTATTGTTAATCACAATTAGAACTTGTATTGTTATTAGTTTTTTCGTTAATTGGAATTGGTAGTTACTGGTCGTCCTTAAGTCGCAATGCGGAACATAGCAAATACATTCAATTTACATAAGTTGCTTTCAATGAATTTGTCTTATCCCAATGCTGATTCTAGGAGATGGTAGCTTAAACCGTCAAAATGTCTGAGAATGCTGATAGTGAAGGAGATTTGATTGATCTTGGATCACCGGTTCTACCTCGAATTCCTCCATTTCCCAGTCAAACTCCGGAAGAAATCTCTGACAATCTTCTCGATTCTGAACTGCCAGTTCTCGAGCAAAAACTACAAACTAGTGCTAAATCAAACGTCACAGAAATTCGAAGACACAGCATCGATGTCGAAGACATTCTAATCACCATAGATGACGACAGTGAGTACCCCTTATCTCGCCTCAATTCCGTCAGACGAAGCAACAGTGAGGCCCTCATTCACCACCCTAAGAACCACCTAGACAAATCCTGGTCATGTGATAACCTCGAAGCTTTGACAATCCTCAAAAACCTCGACGAAATTTTGAACGCTTCCCTTTTGGAATCCGACCAAATCCTCAATGACCACGACTCTGTCACAGATGAGCAAACGCAAGAAACAATCGAGGCTTGTCTGCTAGATTTAGACAATTATCTCCAAGCATTCGATTCGAATTCATCGAATTGTGTCGAAGATCGGTCGAGTGTGAGAAGTAGTGCAAGTTCGTTGCATTCGGATTCGACTGATGATGCTGATTTGAGGAACAGATTGAGGCTGATGGAAGAGAACTATGCCCGGTTTTTGGCTGCAGGGTGTGTTAATAGGGCGTATGTTGACACTGAGACTAACGAGAGGACTCAGAGGAGGCCACTGAGTGCTTGTGATGGACGCAGTGAAGCGTTGGAGCGCAACCATCCGACCAGAGCCACGGTAGCTGTGGTCAAGAGGGAGCGGCCGGGAAATACGAGGTAGGAAATTTGGACCCCACCTAAGAATAATTTTAGTTTTTGAAGTTTCTAACTTTCAAATTTTGTGTTCTACATTTCAAATTGTAACTTGGAATAACATAGAACATAGAATCGAGTCTTTGGACTCAGATATAAGTTTAGACCCCGAATTTTTCGTTTTATTTTATGTAATTTTTGTGCTTGCAATGTTTGTATTTCCTCATTTCCGATAGCGCACCACCCTCGCCCCACCGGACATCCGGCGCAGGTGACTCCGACGACGACATCGACTGGAGCTGGCTGCAGGAAGCCGCACGTGGCGTAAACTCTGAACGGCGCGCACACGCCGCCGGTGACTGCTGTACCGGAACCGTAGTCGTGGAGCCCCTCCAAAGAGCCACTTCTTCTTCAGAAGTCCCCAAACCCAGCACCACGTGGTTGCGCTCTTCCATGCGTCGATTGCGACACTTCCGTTTGCCGAGCAATGGGGAAAACGCCCCCATGGAGACGCCCAGAGTAGAGCCGGTGCCGGAGGTGGTGCGACCCGTGAGTGCACCTTCGAGACTCTTGCCTAGAGAAGCCAGTGCAGTGTCGCAACAGCCGGCCGGGAGGGCCAGTTCGGCGTCGAGGAGTTTGTCCTCGAGTGTGAGCAGTTTAGCGTCGACGGTAGACACCTCGCACAGTTGTACCCCCGCACCGACGCCTACGCACAACCAGCAAGAAGCAAACAGCACGAGAAGGTGAGTTTTTGATTTCGAAGAAAATTACTTCCTACTCTAGATTGGAAAGAATTAGATTTAGAACTGTGTGGGCGCGTTTAATTAACTGTGAGGTTGGTGCCTACATCTTCTTTGTAGTAAAATGGGATGATAAATGATATCTGCGTGAAAAGAAAATATTACTTTATTGTTATCAATTTTTAATTTTGAATGAATCATTTTGATGCTTGACTTGTTTGAAATAATCGCTTTTCTAACTCTGACACTTCTCGTTGTTTCATTCTTTAAATAGATTTGTTTTCAGCAAGATAAAGACAAGATTATGTATTTATGAAACACTTAAATTTTATGATCTTTTTGTTTTTCTATTTATTTATTAAAATTTATATTTGCGTTTCTTTAGAAAATAATTTTACAAATAAAGCGGTCTAAACTTAGACATGAATTATATTTTTATCTTCTCTATGAAGGTGTTATTGAATTTAAGATTAAGATTGATTTTAAGTTTTTTCGGAAATTCCGAATTTTGATTTCTAATGTTGTTATATAGAACTTGAAATAGTGCTTACAGACTCAAAAATAAACAGCGTGATTCAAAAAGACCGTACAATCAATACAATCACTCGGGTGGTTTTTAGAACCATCAAAGTACTCTCAAATCTGCAAATCAAAATGTACCAAGATAAGTGTAACTCTTCAAAAATGCAACTTTAATATTATTTTTTTATTAATAAGATAATTTTGTGTTTTATTTGTCAGAGACGTTAAAATATGCATCTAGGATATTAAAAAATAAACAAAGTCTTAAAAAATAATAAGTAAAACGTGCATAAAACCTGTTTTAATGATTTTTTGAAGGAGTAAAGTTAGCAACAGCATATCAAAAATTTAGTGGTTTCTATAGTAACAAACGTTTCAGGTTATCACCATATAGGTATATGACTGTTTTGAATCACCGTGTTTAGGCTTTCTTGATCGGAATTAAAATTTTAATTTTAAAAATATTTATACTAAGTCTTTGAATTATGTTTTTACTTTACTTTATTTTCACTGTTTATCTAGATATGTTTTATTTTTAACAAAGAGACAATATAAGGTATTATTCTTGAGTCAATATTATTTTTATGATCTCAACATTAATTTTATCTTTACTAGCCTATTTTTTTGTTTTTAAAAGCTTTTTAAATTTTGAGGAAGCTAGCTCCTATTTATATTCGTTTCAATTAATTTATTTTTTTAATTATTTATTATTTAAACAATATGATAATGATTTATGAATTATGCGGGTTCACTGTTTTGACTTTTTCAAATTTTTCTTCCGAATCCCCCATCCAGTACCTCGAAACAGTTATTTTCCGGATTACCGCCGACGCTTTACCTCCTCGCATGATGACTTTATAGATTTAGATTGCAGATTAGTTTCTCGTAGTTGAGTTCCGTAAAACTTCCTTAGAAGAGCATTCTTCTGTATTTCCGTTTTGCATAAGGTCGACGAAATATAATACAACTTCGGAGTGGTTTCTCCAAAGCAGTGCATTTTAGGGGCTTTTATACAATATGGATCCGGTCGAAATCTTAAAAGCGATAGAACAGAGGATATTTACATAACTTCCTGAAAGTGCGAGTGCAGCCTTAACAACTGTTGAATAATTTAATTATTTTTGCTGACAGGTAGTTGACATTGGTAAGAAATGAAATGAAAATTATTACCCACGACGAGTTTGATAAGTTTTGAGTTTTGCTGTTAATTTTTACAGTTATTTTTCTCATAATTACCATAAGTTCTCCGGAAATTAAGTTTTTGTAGTTACAATTAGCTCTATATGTGGAACATGACTAGGCGATTTCCGCGCATTTCTTTCCAAGTTCATCGAGATCGTAATTATGTAAATGAGTGCGATTTTACAAAGTAGGTAAATTGGATAGGAGATTAAAACTAAAATTTGTACCAACTTCGCATCTAAGTACTAACAAGATAAATCTAATTTTAAATATAAACATTTTTTGATGAACTTTTTTGTTGGAAGTTTTACACTGCTGTGGTCAGTTATCTCAAGTTGGTCAACGTGATATGGAATTTTACGCCCTTAACACTCACATTTTCCCGTTTAGTTTTAATTACTCTCCAAGAAATTTAAGGTAGGTTTTTTATTTTTTAATTGCGTGCAATCATTTTGCAAGACATTTTTGAATTTTTGGTGCGTATCTAATTAGGAAAATCTTCTTTTGTAACTTCCATTTTCATAATGTTTCAACTATCGCTTTATTATTTTGTTTACTTAATTTAGATCACGATTCTACTTTACGGTTTCTATTTTGACCTTTCGGCTGGACTTTCATTGTATCTCGATTCTCAAGCCGGTTGTAAATAAATCCAGGATATAGGAATAATTCTGTGTAGTTGGCTAAACTGACATTGAACATTTATGTAAATGGAATAAGATCTCAACTAGGATTACATTATAAAGCACGGGAAAATACTCCCAACACGCTATTCCTATAAGTTAAGACAAAGCAATTGGAGCTGTATTGGTTAACCCATTTATATCAATAAGTTTCTATTATTTGCCCGAATGTAGGGCAGGTTACTAAATAATGGAGTAATTAATTTTAGATCTAGTCAATGACTTTTTGTGTAATTAGTACAAAAATAGGAAAAGGTAATCTCTTTTTCTTCCACAATTTTTTCTTCTTCAATGACCTTTATTTTATTTGAACTATTTTTGTCATTTTGAGAAGTGGTTGGCACTGACGTCGATACCAACTTAATATACCAAAATGGAATATAAATTTTAGAAAATGAAAAAAATTAGAAAACTTTCGATTGTCGATTGAAATATTATTTACAAAAAAACTAAACGAAAGTTGACCATTTATCAGAAGCTAAATCGACTCATCTTGGACTTGTAAATGAGTTTTTTCTGTCAATTGGGTCTCTCCATGTGGAAAACTCTTAATTACGACTAATGCATGTGAATTAGCATAGTTATAGAGGTCAAAAGCTAAGTACCAGCGTCTAATTGGAAGAAAACAAGTTCGTGGGCGTAATACGTTTCAAAAAAAAAATTTTCTCAACTTTTTCCACGCGAATTAATGTCAGTCATCAACTTCTTATAACGGTGTTTTAAAAATAACCACATGACAAACGAATCTCCTCTCCCACGTCTTCGACTTCTTTGTTTTGATCGGTTCATTTAACTGTTTGTTATCTATCGGCCCTGACACGATTCTTCTTTCGATCACCTGTTTTTAGCAAAATTCGTGAGTTTTTCTTCAGTCTTTGAGGAGATTCCAGCTCGGCACCAGGTCAGCGCTCTCCTCGCTAACGGTGTGTGCTTCCTCAACACTTGTGCAGAACATTGTGTTGACAGTATTGTGCGAGTGTTGGTCAAAATAGTGATATTTGCAGTGAGTATCAGTACCGGTTTGCCAAACTTACCTGACCTTTTCGATATCAGACTTAAAAACGAAGGATTTTTGCACTGATTCAGGAAGCGACTTGTATTAATCGTGAAGCCCAACCTTCGCTTTGTTTACTTGAAATAAATCAACATAAGTTAATGGTTCTGATCAAACAGTTTTTTCACTTTTTCAAAAACCGTACTTTTGAACATTGCTAACACATGAGTCAGGTGTCTACATTTTTGTCACGATTTCTTTTTGAATCTGATAAACAGGGCATTGTCTTTGCTTTGTTGTCTCTGCGAAACTATCGCTGAAGATAATTAAGTAAATCACCCTGTATATTATGTTTTGAAATAAGTTAATTTAAGAAAAGATTTCACGTAATCAGCAAATTTTTCTCATAATATTTTCTATACTAAATGTACAATGGGATGAATAAACTATTGTTCCCAGCAATTTAAAAATGAGCTTATGTTGAAATTTCTTCAGTAAATTATTCTAACTGTACCCTAACTGGAAATTATCTTCGTAACGTTCGTTTAGTCACAATAAAACATATGGTGAATCCTGTAATTGACTTTTAACTGTAAAAACTTTGTCATATTGTGACCGGTGTATATTTCTGCCCTTGAAACTGGTTTAATTTTATTTAAATTGACTGATTACTTATTGAGATAAATGTTACAGACAACAAAGAAGAAGCACTCCTGTTTACTCAAGATATCTAAAAATGTCTAATGCAAATAAATTACCTCATCGAAAACAACCATTGGGATTACAAAAGAATCAATGCTGCAATTAATTAATTTGTAATTTAAGTGTTTCACAATGAAAGTATTGTACCTATCCATAAATAAAGATGTGTTTACGCTTTATGAATGCATACACATAGCGTAACAAGTCGACATTTGCGCTGTCTTTTATTTATAAATCTGTGTAAATTGATAGAAAAACTAAATATCAACATATCACGGAACTGTGCATGTGAAAAAATAATTGCTGTTATAAATTTTTCGTTTCTTTTCCTTCATTGAGCCAGTTTCAATGTCAACAAGGCCATGAATTTGATGCTTATATAATCTAAATTTGGTTACATTGAGCATGAAATTATTTAAAAAATTAATTTCTTGGCCATTGATTGTTCCAACTGAATTGTAACTTTTTCTAATATTACACGCCCCTATATGTATAGTCTCGTTTTCCTTTCATACTTTTATTATACTATAAAATAATTACAACAATTCCGCTTTCCATTTGAAGAACAATTAACCACATTAGTGTCAGTTTTTGTCTTTCATTACGGGCTTACCAAAAACCTATTTCAAAGTTATTATTACTGCCACGTAAATGCACCTTTATAGCCCCATGTAGGGCATTTTCGTGGTCACAGTCTCGGAATTTTATGTCACAATTTCGTGCTTGCATCGGTCACTCAGTCACGCACGAGTTTTCTCCAAAAATCGATTAAACCGCAATTCCTTGCAAGGTAAGGCAAAAAATCCAGTGGAATAATTTCGAGGTGATCTAATCATCTTTTGGGGGGCAGCGAATTTAATTATATTATGCAAAAGGGGTGCGAACGGCCTTGGGGTTCCTACGCACCAGATCATATCGCGTGAAATAAAGACGAGAAAAATGAAATAAATGAGAATTAAAAAAAAGTAATCTTGCATTAAAAAATCCTAAAAATTGCCATTGGCATTGGAGTAGTTTCCTCATTTTATGTTAATTAGAGCAAAATCTGGTAATGGTAAAAAAAAGAGGAGTATATAAAGAAACATAATATTCTCTAGAGTTGTTCAGTCTTAAATGCAGAAATTATAATAACCGGAGTTTCAGGTGCACCACTGATTGTGTAATTAACTTCGACGGGAAGTACAAAGTTATTACAAGTAGATAAGAGGTTCTGAACTTCCGCTTTAACAATTTTTCTTTTTTTTTTCAGATCATGTGAGAGACGCCGCGCTAGCGACATGCCGGAATCAGAGAGCCCTCTGGGACAGTGGCCTCACAGCTTAAGTTCCATGATGGCCTGTCTCGGCTGTACTCTAGGCCTTTTCAACATTTCGCGGTTTGCGATTTTGACTGTCCATTTCGGCGCTAATTTTATTTTCCAATTTGTTATCCTATCACTAGTCTTCGGTTTGCCACTTTTCACTCTCCAGTTATGTCTCGGACAACAGCTAGGAGCCGGTGTTATAGACATGTGGCGGATATCGCCTTTGTTTCAAGGGGTCGGAGTTGCCCTTCTTATCTCTCAAGCCCTCCTTGGGCTTTATAGCATAATTGGAGTTTCATGGATGTTTGTTTTTTTCCGAGACTCGTTTATTACCAAAATGGATAAATATCGATGGGCTGAGCCTTATATGTTCTACAGGCCTGGTACGTATTGTGTGATGAATCAATGTAGTATTGATTATGACGGTATTGATTAAGTCGGGCTAATTTTTTCATAATTTATTGTGCTTGTAGATGTTCAACCACCTATCAACGGGAGTTACAAACTCACAGAGACGATTCCCGATTATTTCAGTGGAATTGTCCTCCAGAGACACTATTTAGCAACCGGAAGCTCGTATGGAACAATCAAATTTCAACTAGCTTTTAACTTGGCTGTTGTTTGGATGATTGTTTTTGTATCTTTAAGCAAAGGATTAAGATCTTATGGCAAAGTGATTTACGTTTTTACACTTTTGCCTGTCTTTGGTACTTTTGTCTTGTGTGCCAAAATTTTAGGCTTAATGCCGACTGATTATGATAGTTTTACTTTTCCTGAAGCCTCTTGGAATGAGTTCTTCCTTAATCCAAAGGTACCACAAGAAACACTCTTTACCAACACTAATTAATCAATTGTAGAGTTGGTTAGCGGCTGCCCAAGAAACTTTTCTAACTTGGGGGATGCTAGGAGCTGCAGTTATGCAAATCGCATCACACAATAAGCACAAACATTTGCTTCAAAGGGATTCTAGTCTAGTAGCTGTAATAACTTTAACGGTTTTGATACTTATGGGTTTTTTGGCCAATAAAAGTGTCGAAATTTTGCGCACTTTTGGCTACAATTACTTACCTGATTCTTTCGGTAACAAATCACACAATATCTGAGAAAAAATAACACACTTTTTTTCAGAAAATATAAACTCTTACACATTTCTCGAATCAACAAGAGGTCGAGTACCTCCAAAATACTCCAATACTCCAATCAAATACATGGTTCACAATTCGTTCTTTTTGGGAGAGAAGGTGATACGACCGGGGGTTGACAGTAGCGTGGAAAGTGGCTACCAGGTTTGTTAATTGTCATCATTGTCCAAAAATATGTAATTTTTATTTTCCAATTTAAGGCTCTCCGACTCGCTACTGAACTGGTTCCCGCCACTTTTGCCGTCTTGGGGGCCGAAAAAATGTCACCATTCTGGGCTGTGTTATTTTATTTTATCTTAATTTTGTTTGGTATAGCCCAACAGTTGGCAATATGGCATTGTGTGATAACCGGAATTATGGCTATTAAAGCCCAAGTACTGAAATCATGGGAGACTACTATAACACTTTTTAGTTGCATTTGTGGCTACATTCTTGGACTTCCAATGGCCACAGAGGTACTAACGATGACCCAAATTAAACTTTATTTTAATTAAAAAATTCTAGTTTGGGATATACGTGGTCTTTTTTATGGACTACACAGTGGGTGGGCTGTGGTGGCTCATTGTTATCATCCTCCTCCAAATCATTGCAGTGTTTATGGTCCGGGGGCGCCCCTACAGTGGTGACACAGTTGTCACAGCATTGTTTACACCAAATAATCACCCGTGTATATTAAGTTGGGCCCCAGCCTTACTGTCTTTTACATGGAACGTAATTTTACCTGTAGCTTTAATGGTAAAATTAAATGTCCTTTCTGGTAACAATTCTGACAAAAATTTCGCAGGTCTTATGTATCAGTACAGTGAGAAATGGTAACTTTAGGGACATTTTTGTTTGGCACCATGCTCCCGTTCCGGAATACTGGCCTTTGTGGGCCCGCCAGTTTGGTTCTATGTTACAATTAGTACCAATCCTCCTTGTTCCTCTAGTAGCAGTAATACAGAGTTACAGATATCTCAGTAATGGTCCTACCGACATTTTAGAGGTAAGTCGGCAAAGACTTTCAATAATTGTACTCAAATTTTGATTCTTGCTCACCTAAGGAGTACGAAGATCAATCCAATCATGTTAGTATGATGATAGCCCCTCCCCAAAATTTGTGATAGTGTTCTAATTTTGGATTTTCCAGAGAATACAATTGTTGTACAGGCCACCAATAGGCGAACACATGACGGATTTGGCCGTTCACGAGGCAGTTATTGCTAATAACAATGCAAACAACTCTTCACCCAACACCCTAGGTGTGACGGAGGATCCACCCCCGAAATACACACCTCCGCCGTCATACACTACAGCAACGGGGGCTCGCCTTGCTAAATTTTTGCGGCAAAGTATCAGAAGGTCGGTCCGGAGGCTTGCGAATGTCTTGGGGGAGAGTAGTACGGCGAGACTGAGGTCAAACTTACCCCAAACTCAACCACCACCGCCCGATTACAACGCAGTTCTAGTCGAAATGAGTCAAACGAATAGTACTGATGTTTCAATCTCGGTTCCTGATGCTAGTACTAGGATTTCGACTCTGGAACGGCTGAGAAACATTCAGCCGACTCCCGGATCCCCGACTCTCACAGCAGCGGAAGTAGCGTCAATACTTAGGAGTAGTTTCCGGAGAAGTAATATCAGAAGAAATAATAATTTTCCCGATGATAGTGTCGCTTCACTCAGTGCGGAAAATCTGGTCGATTCGGCGGCACCGATCGGTGAAACATCGCTGGTTTTAGATCACTTGCCCCAAGATACTGTTAAACGTGAATCTAACTCATCTGTGATATAAGTTATTGTTTCGATTTAGTACCGGCACTCTTATTTATGAGTTAATGTCTTTTCGGTATGTCCAAAAGATGTTTTTTTTTACTTTTGTAACCAACTTCATTATTATATAATGTAAAGAACTGATACATAGAATGTACAAAAAATTAAACTGATCTAATTTAAAAACGTGTTTTATTGGATTACAAAAGAAGCATTAAGTTGGATAGATTATTCTTGTCTCCACTCCCTGAGCTCGGATCAATTTTCCTACCAATTTTATCGATTGTTGTTCGCCTCAATGGCCACATTTATAATATCATTGCCCAAAAAATAATCAGTCGCAACTATATTAACATCCCTGGCCCACTCATCGCGAAACCAGATTGTGACTTTTCGGTTTACATCATTTGCAAGTTTACGCAGATTGTTAGTACGGAAAAATAAATCAATGGGTTGAGGGGTTAGTTCGGCCATTAGGGCAAACATTGGGTTTAGAGTCACCCGATGCTCTTTAATAGCCCGCGACAGAAAACTCTTTAGAGAGTCCACATTTTTCGTATTGGCCCAATGTTGATATAAAGGTTGCCATAACCAATAATTTTCTGAAATTTGAAATAAGTCAAAAAAAAATTTTTTTTGGCACTTACCTCTAGCTATGGCCTTATCGGCGTAACAAATTATCACGTTTTTGTTTTGGGCCCAAATTTCATTCAATGTTGGCCCTTTACCGACTTGGAGACCACCTGGAGGTAACGCCAAATCTCCCAAATAATCATAAACCAAAGACACAAATTTTTCGTGTAAAGTCGAGTTGAAACTTGAAGGGTACGGAAAACGATGAAAGTCAACAACTATAATCTCTTTAGGTGCCAATTGTACAAATTTTCGGATTTCTTTAAAAATCTGTACCACTTTTGTTATCCTGACTAGATCGTGGTTCACGTAGAAGCTATAATTGTCAGTTATTAAAAAAACGATGTAAGTTTTAAAATGTACCCTTCATTTTCATAGTAGCCAATTCGCAAATCAAGATATCTAATTCCGTGCACTAACTGAGTCCAGATGCTTCTGTCCTGGTTTAAAATATAATTTTCCAAAATTTTTGGCACGCCAACATATGCTCCCGAATTATGTGTTCCCGGAATGAACAAATTCCCGATTTTTTGTATCCCAATTTGCATTCTACAAAAATAAGTCAGTCACAATAAATAACAATCTAAAAAATACGACACTTGAGGTAATTATATTTTGTTAAATACCTTTCGTAACTACCTATTATCATTCATCCAGGTTGGTTGTATGCCCAGACATTTGGTATCAATGATATCATTCCCTCTGATCGATGCAATCCAGTAGGGATAACAATGCGGCCCTTGGTCGGCTCGGGTCAAACTATCTCTATACTCCCAATTTCCGGGAAGCCAGGGTTGGCCGAATTTAATTTTGGTTTTGTAGTATCCCGAAGGATAATCCGAAGCTCGGATTTTGACAAGTGGCGGTGTCTCCTCCTAGAAAAGAGTTCAATGTTTTTGTTTGTTTGTGAATAGGGTCTTACGCTTCTGTCTTTTAAATTGTAAGGGTACAAAGCGATGTAATCTGGTCTGATGTTATCAGGAGGAGTGCAATCAGTGATCCAGTTGAGTTCTAAATTCGTGTCTTGGGACGCTGAGATTGTCAGGTGTACTCGGCCACATCTTCGAGCTGGAAATAAACAATTAATTGATTTTAGTGTAATTGGATCGGTATTTACTGAATTCTTTGGGATAAGTGGTCCCGAAACGGAAACACAGAGATAATAAAATAATTGTGTTGATCATTGGACTTTCGCCTTGTGAATGATTAAAATAATACGAAGGTAAAGTCGATCGGAATGTTCATTTATAACCACAAAGACTCACTATAAACAAAGTTATTGTCACAGCATGCTGATACTGACTGACGTTAACCATCCGTTCAAATAACTTAATTAACATAATTTATTTATTTATACGGAGATGTGGCGGACAAAGGTACGACAAGGCACAGTTTGGATAAAATCGAAAATGTAATTGGGATTATTTGAGTCGTATAACTGATGTCTAAATTTGCAATTTAAAGTAATGATGTGCTGTTTCCTGTAAATAATTGGGTGACACATTCATTGTGATTCATGATCAAACGTTCACCTCAAAAAAAACACAAAGTCAGGGGAAAACTTTATTGTAACACTAATAGAAAAAAGAACGTTGCAATTTGCGAAAATTTGTGTCGATTGCTACATTGATCATATCGTTACCGGTAAAATAATCGGTTGCGATTATATTCAAATTATCAGAACGATTATTCTCAATGACCCAGTCTGACAATTCTTGATTCACCATCAAAGCCAAGTCTTTTAAATTTGTGTTAACATATTGTAGGAAATTTCGGTAGTTTGGAGTCAATTCAGCCATTAGTGCATTGAGAGGGTTTCCTCGGACCGGTTTAGAGATTTTTGTTTTGACGTAGTTTTCCAAATTTTGTAATTTTTGTACGTTCCCCCATTCGCGTTGAACACCGGGCCACAACCACGGATTTCCTACAATTTTTAAAGAATTATTTTTTATTTCAACCAGAATATAATTTTTACTCCGGACAAAATAATCCTGCCGATAACTGATAATAACCCGTTTTTGACTTTGCCAAAACTCCCTCAATTTGGGCCCTTTCGGATGCATAAACCTAGAGTAGGGATAAATCAAATCTCCGAAAATGTCCCTAACTACACGCAAAAGCTCTAAGTGATAACCTTCAAGAAAATCTCTCGGTTGTACAAATCGGTGAAAATTCAACACTACCACTTCATTTGGCGACTTTTTGAGAAAGTTGGCTACACTTTGAAGCTCCGGGACGAGCTCAGTACACTTGACAAAGTCATGATTTATGTAGAAACTAAAATTTGGTTCCAACTTAATGCTTTACAGATTATTTTCATACCCTTGTGGTGGGTTTCCATAACGGCCAATTCTGATATCAAAGTAGCGAATACCGTAAACCAACTGTTCCCAAAAATTTTTATCTTGATTGAGGACATAATTTTTGAACCCGGGGAGTTTTGTTTGCCAAGCACCGGAATTGTGGGTTCCGGGTATCATCATTTCCCCGATTCTGAGATCACCGAAACTAAAATGCGTAAAGACCTTCGCTTTTGCTCGGTAATTAAACCACTTTTGTAATTACTTTGACATCCAAGCTGGTTGGATGGAGAAACATTGCGAATAAATTATTTCTTTATTTCTACGACTTGAAATGTAATAATCGAAACATTTAGCCTTTAAATCTGGATAATCATTATCCACAGTCCAGTTTCCTGGAAATTCCACGTTTTTGAAAGGTATTTGAGTCGCTTGGAAGCCTTTAATGACTGAACCTGGGTTTATTTGGTAAAGAATTTGGGCGTTTGGCTAAGAAATGTTTTAATTAATCTTGGTCAAAATTTATAATTTACTCACATTTACTCTTAAATCGCCCAAAGTGAGTAACAGCGTATCTGGTAGGTTTTCGCACGTAAAGTGCCAATTTATTTGAAGGTTTTTACTTTTTTTTGGAGATTGGGTCAAGTAGAGTTGACCACAGGGATTATTATTTGCTAAAAATCAGGTTAGGGAAAATAGTAGTACAAAAATACTTACTTGTTACTTTTTGCGATGTTGTTAAATTAACCCAAAATATTAAGTGGGATATTATGAGGACAAGAATAATCATGGCTTTATCACTAACACTCTGCGAAATAACTAGAAACCATAATTTAAAACCTTTAAAATAATCAGCACTGCTTGAATTATTGTTCCATTACTGCTGACGCTTTGTAACTATTTAAATATTTTGTAATTGCTGTGTTGGAAAAAACTTTTGATTTAAATTGGATCTAACAATTGTGCTTCTGAAAAAAGGTATTTTTCACGCTTTAGTGTTATTATATGAGTCAGCATAATTTAATTTAACTTAAATTACAAGTAACTGGGTAATTTGTAATACATACCTGTTTGATAATTCCTTCTAAAGGTTGTAAAAATAGTAATAATAGCAAAGAAACACACAATTTATAACACTTATCCAAAATTTGCCGTCATTTTAAATATTAGCATTTTTATAAATCATTTTCGCGTGTTATCTCGACTTGATCGGAAAGATACCTACCTAATAAAACTTTCACTTAAAATAACAGAGAAAGTCTCTTCCTTGTTGTTGAATTTCAAACTAAAAATTATGAGAAATTTGTTATTATTTTGAGGAAGTCAAAAATGTACTAATTTTTATTATTTACATGAACATTTAGCAAATTACTTTGTTTTCTGTTAAATAGCTATATTTAATAACATACTTCTATTTTTTTGTCTATTTATAAATGGAAAAATATTCATCGAATTATAAAAACCACGAGGTCGCTGACTTGCTGATTAACAAAATAGTCTCAGTACTTTTTCTTTATTAGTGACACCTATAGTACAAAAATAAGGTAACTTACTGACTAAACTCTGTACAATTGAGGTAGAACAAAAATCAGTCCTGTTACATTTTGAGAGCAAGTATTCTTTGGAAATTGAAAAGCTTGCCCTTTCTTATCAAACACCTACTCCTAGCCGTAACTACAATAAAAAAATATGTTCTCTACAATAAATATTCATTATGTACAACTTTGAAGGAAAAAAATTAAAGCATCCATCTTCACTGGGTGTCGTTCCGAGCGAATGTAATCAGTTCGATTGCTGCGTCAATAAATTTAAAAGTTCTGAATGGTCCATGTTATTCAACGTTTGCATGTCAATGCCTAAAGCCTTGGCCACACTCTCCATATCCAGCCCGAAGGATTTCAGCAGTTCGATAAAGTCCATTTCCTCGCCCGTGAAGGGATTGTGAAGTCGCGGACACGAGTGATTACACTGTGGCCACGAACACCGCTCCAGTCTTCGATGAGTGCAATGTTTCCTCCTTTGTGTGCGTAAAACAGAACGTTGGGGCCTCCCCATTAAATTCAACTCAGATGTCCTGTTCCCACTCGCTTGAACCCCACCTAAACAAGCACAGTAAATAAATAATCTTAATAAAGAGAATAAAGCACCTTTCTTTTTCTTTCCTTTCCGGTTCTTGAGATTTTTTCTCCGGCGCTTTTTCTTTTGTGCGACTTCATCAGTGAGTGTCGAATTGACACTTTGTCGCCGGAATGGCTTGGGTTGGTCGGCGAACATTTTAGTATTTCGGGATTTCTTAATTCTCCTCCTGTGCAGTTTTTGTTCCCAACAATGAAGAGCTTCAGGGATTGATATATCGTCAATTTTCACGTTTTGCCAATCGCGTTTTGTCAAAACTGAATGCGAGATGCACGAGGGGGCGAATACGGCGGAAACGTTTTCAAAACTCTGCCGCAATGCGTCCCCCATTTTATGAATGTAATCCCACTGTTGTTTTGTTACGGGAGCCCCGACGTTATCTGCGTCCATTTGAGCTTCATCAAACAGCCATTGAAAGACAAAAAGCTCGGCTGAAAGTAATAAAAAGATTTTGTTTTTAAAGCGATATAAAAGGACTCGTGATTAAATCATCCAAATTAAATATTTTTCAACTTACTTTGCAAAGTCGGGTACAGTCTATATCCAAAGTAGCACCTCCAAGGCTCACCCAGATACAACTCCTTGCACCTTTGGGGCACTTGTCCTCCCCACAACTCCATTCCTCTTCTTATCGCGTCGACTGCAGGTTTTAAAGTTGGAGCGTAGGGAGTTCTATCGAGAAACCAGCCCGAATCAGTTACTCCTTTCACAGCGATGTGCTTCAACCCTTTTTTGTCGTGTAAAAACTCCCGAACAGGATCTAAGTTTAACATAACACCAGTTCCTCCAGCGCTACTCCCTGTTAGAAGCAAATCGGTGCTATTTTCAAGTCCTAAAGTTAGTAAATCTTGGACGACTTGTTGCACGAGAACTGAGCCCATGAAACTAAACGTTTCGCTGCGGGAGTAGGGTTTTGAGCCGCTCCAGGAATCGCTGGTGCAATAAGGGATGAAAACATGGTTGGCGTTCCACCAGAAGGGGTTTTCCTCCATGCTGCCGGAAAGAATTCCCCCTACTGTAGAAAATTTGTAAAGAAGAGCTTCATTTTAAAACGGTACTTACTGTCTCTAGCATCAGGCCACCCAGTTGAAGTCATGTAATGACGTTGTTTCAGCCATCTATTTCTGCAACTGTGGTGGTCATAGCAATACCATCCGCCTTCTAAAAAGATAATCCATTTCTTACTTGTGTAAGACTTTCTTAGGTAAAATCTACATAGAAAAAAATATTAAATTACTAATCGGCGACGATGTTCCAGATAAATGTTTCTTGAAGCACCAAACATTTAATAAAATTGAATTGATATTAAATATGTAAACACACAGTTCTCCAAACGACATTTATTTTGGAAGTGGTTGTATAAAAACCGTCAAGAACATCTATCTAGCAATAACGGCAGTAAAACCCCAGTTTCGATTTAACTTTAAACTGTAAAAGCCTTATTAAAATGAATGTAAATCTGAGACTGTAATAGCCATATTCAAGGTTTTGAAACAGTACAAAACCCGCCGGCCCACAAGCAAAATTAATTAAATTTTCACGAATGAATGGTCAAATTATGAAGAGCACGTGTACCTCTCCCACTAATTACCGTGTTTATTATAAAGTAAAGCCAGTTTATTGATGCCGAACAAATTAGATATTAAAATCAGTGACAGGCCTTTAATGTGCCATTAATTAAAGTAAGGAGTTTTGCAATTTTGTTCGAATAATCGTAGCACTCACCCGGCTTGCGATCCGTCGTTACAAGTGACAGATCTATTCGACAAGAAAACCCTCTTCAAAGCTCGAATTTCCTCGTTTTTGTGCTCCTGTCTATGGACGAATCTTTGAATGTTGTTGGTGTAAATAGGAGTGTCCATGTCGTGGGTATTCCTGCGGCCGGTGCCGGGAAAAGCCATCGATAGACCCAACCATAACGCCATTAACTGAAAACAAGCAAATAATCTGATTAACTTAAATTGATGCTTTGTGATTTCATGATTCATCGTTCAAGCATTCAAAACAATATACAAACGAAATGCCGAACAATGTTAAGTTTAGCCGCCTTTGATGCCGCCAGCGGCTTTATTCGACCGAACCAGTTCGCTTCAAACACTCATTTATAAGGAGATATGCGAGGTCTTTAGGACACCACTCTACAATAATATTCAACAATTTTCCGCTTTCCTCCTGTCGAGTCCAGAATTATTATTCTGACAGCAACACAAAATATATTGCCTTTAAAGCAACAAAGAGTTTTGTTAGCTTTCATAAAAAATAAAAATTTGCATATCTCAGATTTCTAAAATCTATAAAATCAAATGTAATATTGCAATGCCTTTTAAAAAATATAAACAAAAAACCCCTTTTTTATTAGTGTACATATTATATAAGGTAGAAATTATTTAAATAATTAATAAATTAAGGAAAATAGTAATTTTATATTATATATTAATGTGATATTTTTAAATAGAAATCTTCTAAAGTGTCTAAGTGGTAACTTAAAAGAAAATTTGGATGTATACTTATAGGTATTTGTTCTCTTGTATTTTAGTTAAGCATAAATTCATCTTTTATTGTACAAGAATATTTAAGATAATAACTGAAAAATTTGGATAAAAAAATTAAGCGCAGGATACATAAAATAAAAAATACAGCAAATCATAAGGATTAAAAAATGACCATTTGAAATTTACACAACTTTTATCACTTTCTGCATATCAAAAGAGCGTTAAAATTATAATTTTCAATAACTAAGTACAAAATTTAGTTTCCCAACATGCAATAATTTTTATTACTGATATTAAGCAATTAAATCAAGCTAAATTCTTCAAAATTTTGCAAAAATAGGTAGGTAGGTGTTTTTTTATTCAAAATTCAGTTCTACATAAAAACATTTTGCGTTAATTAACTTTAAATAAGAAAATCATATTTGATAATTACTGGATTCTGAAACAGTTTTAATTATTCACTACATGATAATGATATATCTAAATCATCTAGTATATCATGTTAGTGTTTTTATAATTACATACTGTGTACTTGTGTAGTTTCAATAGTTGTACTCGGATTCCATAACCACTGCTGAGAGAACCAAAAATGACATTATAATTAATTTGAAGTTATTTTAGGTATATTGTTGTAATACCTACGTTGTTTTATATGTTCTATTGTAAACGCTTAGGGCATCTGGTTAATGATTTTGAGTTTGCAGCGATGTAAACAAGGACGAGTGAAGCAATAAGAGAACCGTTAGAAGTTGTATAAAAGAGTGGTGTTATAGTGTCATGTCGATGCACCTTGTATATGAGAAGAAGTGTCAAAAATGCAAAGCTCCGCCCCCTGTATAATGATCTCTCGCTAGGCAAACGGTAGTTGTTCGACTGGATGAATCTGTAGTTTTTCGTATAGTATAAGATCCATGAATTGTTAGAGCCGTCTGTTCCATTATATAACTTAATTGTCAATAAATTATTGAAATTGTTGTCCATTATCTATTAAGTCAAAGAAGCCGCTCTCAGTGAGATATATTGGTTATAAATAAACTCGGCATGGTTCACCTAAACCGAAACTGGGTACGTTTCGCTCATTTTCGAACAAATCTGCAGGTGTTCTTGATTTTTTACGACTGGTCTTATTTACGACAGCAATAGAACGAAAAATCCGAATTTTTCGTTCGCATTGTGCAAATTATAGCACGTTTCCTAGAGCGCGTTTACGATTCTAGTTATAGTTATTTGTTGTTGTAATTAAATTTATTAGCGTGATTATGGCATACCTGTAAATGCATTAAATTGAAAATAATGTTAAAGAGGCTACTACAACGGCCACATAAAAATATACTAGTGAAAGAACGCGCGCTGGAGGGGGAGCTTGAGGCCGGATCCCTTCTGCCGACAGTAGCAGATAATAAGAGGCTTACCGACCTTTGAAGATGCCGCCGAGCACCTACACTGTTTTTAAATTAAATTACTCATTTCATGTTACCTCAGGTCATTCGATAGCACTTGTCTAAAACCACAGAAATTCAATATCATCTAAGTCGGTTTTCCGGTTAGTTTATAATTTGATCGCCGGAATTTTATGCTCGAAAAACCGCACCAACGTTCAAAAATTCCGCCAAACAGCATCGAGCCTGCAGTGGTGCCTAGCGGCGCGCCGGCCAGATGCTCCTAGGAATTAACATAAAACATAATGAATTTTTAATGAGCGCCTGGTAAAAAATGAGGGGTCGATTAAAGCCCAAGCCCGAAAATAAATTGCGTAAAAGCGGCAATTATACATTCCGAAACATTACTGGTTGTGGATACGAGACCAAAACCCTTCCACCATGGGAAATATGCGGAACCACTCGAGCCAAAAGGAGTGAAGACACAATGCGATGATCCACTTGTCACTCTTCGACTGCTATAAATCACCAACACCAGCTGGACATCTGACACTGTGAACATTGGGGCAGGTTAGGTGCTGTAAATCAACTAGCACTTTCCACCTGTGCCAATGCTAAATCCTATTGTGGCCTAAACGGATCCGTTTGAGCCAAAGACCTACCGCAAGTGACCACTTCGGCACCAATTTTATGCCCATTACGACCCCCAACTACACACATTTTTTATTTTTTCAATATGGTTGTTCACAATCAGTTTGTAGCATCTTTACAAAAATGATCTCATTTTATGAATTTTAGAGTTTAGAGAGTGCAATCTGCATATTAGCATTGGAAAATTCATCAAAAAAATAATATAAACAAAGTTTGCACATTTTGAGTACTTTATTCTAAAGTTTACATTGCTAGTAGTTGGTTATTTAAGATAATGAAATTCGGTGAAATCTTCAACAAACAATTTTTTACCTTTTTTTAATATAATAACACTTTTTTCTCGGGTCAATTTTATTAATTTTAAATAGATATTAAAGAGTAAATCTCAAAAATCATATTTGTTTGCAATTTGTGTTGGTTAAGTTTAAAAAAAACTTATTCGGTGGCTAAAACCCTCAATATCTCAGAAACTATAAACATTCAGAGAAAGCAAGTTCAGTTATTTTGGCTTATTTAGACTTGTACTATCACCTCTTAAAATTTTACCACAACTTTTAAAATCACCATGTATTTAGTAGAAAGCAAAACCTGGTGCGTATCTGAAACAGAAAAAATAACTAACTAGACTAAATCCCAACACACCAAATTGTTTCTTAATAAATGTCGAAACGTGTTTCGTCAACTAAGTTGACATCATGTGTACGATGACAAACAATATGCTTTGATGTTGAATGATGAATCTTATTTTCGTCCAGTTGATATTAAAAAGAGTAGTTAGTTTAGTATATTGAGATTTGGTATTGCTTATTTTTTCTGTTACATTTGGTAAGAGTTGTTTAATGTTATTAACGAAATACTTTCACAAACAAATACATATTTTTTTAAACACAAAAAATAGAAAAACAGTGATATTTGTTGGTATCACTGTACTCGAGCTCTTTTGATCACAAAAATTGAGATATGTTTAACCTCAATTATTATTAATCCACATTTAAATTTTTTAAAATAATAATTTGTTTTTTAACACTTCTCATGTACTGGTTTTTGACTATTCATTAAAAAAAATTGACTAAAACTAAAACTTTTTCTCATATATTTTCAGAAAAAAATATAGGTATACAGGGTGTGTCAGAACTCGCGCCCCAGAGAAAATTTTCAAGTAAGGTAAGATACCAGGAACGTGAAAAAAATGTTTAAAAAATTCTATCTGTCACAAAATTTTGATATTTATTTTTTGACATTTGACATTTTTTATATCTATTTAATGATACTAATGATCTTGTATATGTTTTGTTACAATTATTAAGTAAAGGGACAAAAATTTTGCCAATAAAAGCCACAAATAACATTGAACAGAGTTACAATTTAGGATACAGCTTACTTGTTTTCTCTTTTAATAGCCTATAGCAAAAAACTTGGAAAATTATTTTTCCAGTAGAAATAAGTAGAGTCAAAGTGCAAACTTTAAACCCTCACAACTTCGAAATTTTTATAGATAAAATTTTTTTAACATTTTTTCCATGTTCCTGCTATCTTACCTTATATGGCATTTTTCTCTGGGGCGCGAGTTCTGGCGCACCTGTATAGGTATATTCTTATTATTTATAAGTGTAAAATGCTTCGCTTTAAAAAAATGTGATATAAAAAATGAATACATAAATAAAATAGCACAGAAAAATTAACAATGCAAGTAAAGTAAAAGTAATGCAAGTAAAAAAGTACCTCTTGTTTAACATCATTCACTGTTACAGTTCAATAACAAAAAAATTAAAAAAATGTTAAGCGGGTTGCTAATACCTATATTATGTATGTTCATACCTACACGTATACTAACAAGTGTATGTAATTTTGTAGGACCAAAATCCTCTAAGAAGAAAACATATTTTTGTAACAACATTAACTGATGATACCATTTCTTCTATTTCTTTGTTGTATTTTGTCATTTTTGGCACAAAATTGTGAAAAGCTTTTTGTGGTTTTGAAATTATCTTTTAGTTTGAGGCAATTTCCTTGCATAAAATTTGTGTTTTGTAGTATTTCTTTGTTGCGCAAAATCGTATGATTAGTGGCACACCTGTGGCTATCTATGTATTATTACTTTAATGTCGGCAACTAGTCCGATGTAATCTCATCCGTAGAGTTGGGTGCGAGGTAAAAATCAATCTCTATTAGCTACTGGTGTTGTCGGTAAGATCAAAGCTTTGTATCTCGCTTCCCACACGCACCAGCCTCTCGATAAATCGCCGCCCTAAATCTCCAGTGACGAAAGGAACCAAAGTGACTGATTTCGGCGTTGTGTTTAGAAAGGACCAATGTAATGCCGCGTAAAGAGAATTTCAATAGAAACACATCTGATGCGTGACTTTTCATCTTAATCCCACAAAGACTTGCCGACAGTATGGCTATTGCAAAGTTTTATTTTTTTCTGAATTAAGTTCGATTGATCAATTTATGATTAAAGAACGTCAATTGCTTTGTGGTTTATTCGGGGGGCTTTGAAAACCGACACGGGTTTACACTCGGTTTGACGGTGACCCCGAAAATGGCAATATATCATAAAGCGAGCTTTTATCGACTTTTCTTGCG